GCTCAAATCAGAGATATTTTTCTCCGTGAATATTTTAATAATCGATCACTGGGTGAAGTTATATCTCAATCAAACTATAAAGTAATTTTATTTGAAACACTTCTAAAATACAACTAGTGGTGCATGGCATCGTGTCTGAGAGGCAAATTGCTAGAGCTTCCCGTACCAAAAATTAAAAATTTTAGAACAGATTCAATTATTTTAGAACCCAGAAAAAAATAGATTTTTGAGATTTTTAAAATTCCTCAAAAAAAATTGACCTTTTCAAAAATTTCATTTTTTTCATACTTGGAAATATTCTGGAAATTTTCAACTGGTTTTCAAAGCGATCGCGATACGTTAGCTGCGTAGACACGAAATATAGAAGCGCGTGGGCGCCGCGTCGTAGTATTACAGATAAACATTGGTACAGAACCCATAGAAATGTTAATAAAATTCGTTTTCATCATTAAAATATTTATAAAATATGTGATAATTTGATGTGCATATGTCTAATGATCATTTTAATCCGCCAAATGGCGTTTTTTTTCACTTTTTTTTTATTGGATCTCCGAAACCGCTAGACCTGCCTTCCCAAAAATTTCCTCATTTCTTCATTCCGTCAATACAAATACAATTTTTTCTGAATCATTCGAATCGAACGCTCGGTTCTCTTAAAAATTGAATTATCGTTTTTGGCACTTTTTGTCCCGTATCTTCGAAACGACTGAACCTGCCTTTGCCAAAAACTATACAGCACGTCTCCTTATCAATAAGAATCGAATGTTTTTTGAATCATTCAAATTGGTTGATACGTGTTCTCGAAATCGTCGACGAAAAATTGTATACGCACATACATACATACATACATACCCAAACACACAAACATATCCATTTATTTCTATATATATATATATATATATATATATATATATTCTTGCAATAATGCACAGGGGCGGATATACATTGCATACAACGTAGGCGTTATATTGACCTTCAGCATACAAGAATAACTTTCAAATAAAAACACAAGTACTGTGAATGATAGATAAATTCAAATCATGTTTTTATCCGCTATGGTAGGTATTGAATATACAAACTCGTAAAACGTACAGATTTTATAAAAATCGAGATAAAATTTTATTATAATTTTAACCAATACTATGCCAGCAAATCTATTTGAAACGCTATTATATCAAGAACGAATAGACAACCCGTCACGAAATAACTTTTCGTCTGGGCCATTAGCTACATATGGGTTCAAAAACCTAAAAATTCATAAGACTTTAGATACGATACATATGGTTAAAGACAAATATCGTTGCGATTGTTATATAAATATAAGATGTATGCAATCCGGTCGACAAACACAAATACTAATAAATTCTTATTGAAATAAAAATGATAAGCGAAGTATCCAGACCACATTTTGAAAATTCGAATTTTAAATAAAATAAAACTTCGATGAATTGGAACATTCGAATGAAATTATTTTTATTAAATTTGTATGTAACAATCAGAATAAAGTAAGTAATTCTATAAGCTACAGTGAGAACATAATCTATAATGTAAAGTAAAGGAAAAAAATAATAAAAAGAAATAACTCACTATAATAATGATAATAATAACAAGTAAATAGAAATAATAATCATAAAAATTATAGAAAGAAAAAATAAATAAATAATAATAATAATAATAAATATAATAATAGAACAGAAAACTGTTCCATTGATCAGTTAACTAATCAGTTAATTAAATAAATTAATATAAATCACATGGAAATTTCCTCTTCAGTCTTCTTGAATAAGGGATCTCGAGTAGTGCTGAAACTATGTGGTTTGGGTGTGATTCCAGTTTTAAGTGATGGTGAAGGCTATTGCTGCTAATTACATCCACAATATATGGAATGTTAAGATCATTGTGGATAGTTTGATTGCTAATGAACCAAGGGGCATCAGTGATTTGTCTCAAAATCACTGATTGGCCACGTTGAATAAGGACTATATTGAACTTACTAGACAACCCCAAAGTTGGAACACATGTAGGTTCAGACCTGAATCAGAGGTCCCGGGTTCGATACCCACTTCGAGCAGCCTGTTGTCAGGCAGCAGTGACAACGATTTTCACTTGGAAATATAGATAGCAATATCTTTCCAAGTGAAAATGTCAGCCCTATTAGATTAATTCTAATAACAAAAATCATCAAATATGGATGGATTAACCCATTGGGTTACCATCTAAAAAATACGAAAGAAGGAGAAGTTTCAGCCCAACAGCTCATAGGACGTAAGGTTCTGATTGCTGTTAAAAATAAAAAAAAATGTAGGTTCAGAGAAAGCCCTTTTATTATTTATGATTTTACGATATTTGTTTTCTGTACTAAAAATCTCCCTTTTCTCGTTCCTTGGATATGGTATGTTATCTTATCACGTTAAAATTACATGAAGTGACTTGAAAATCGCTATCACAAAAATTTTTATTTGCCAAAAATTATTTCAATTCGATTAAAATACATTACAAAGTTTACTATATTCGCGTGGTCGATGTAAAAAAACAGATAAATAAATAATATGATCAGCAATGAACAAAAACCTTGAGAGCGAACGTTGAACCGCCGAAAACTGCGATTCCCTAAAAGCATTTACTAGAGGAGCGATAGCACTGTTAGTTATTTGCAACACTATTAAATACGTGGCCGCCTTGAATTTCTGTAATAAATATATTGAAAAACATTAGGTCGATGTATTAGTACATCAACTAAAAACAAGAATTTTTATTGTTTGCCATTTGGCAGTCAAAAATGATCAATGATCAAATTATTAGATGTTTCATAGAGCTTTTAATAATAAGTATAAATTTTAACATTTCTATGAGTTTCATACTAACGTTTATATCCGTTATACTTCGAGCACGTGAAAAATTCATTATGATGTACTCCATCAGTAACATTTATTTAGTATTCAAGTAATATGTTTTGATTTACACGGTGTACATTATAATGTGTAAAAAGAAGGTTAGCATATTTAGCAGCAACATCAATTGTCTGTGTAATAAAAAATACTTTAAAATTATTTCCACTCTAGATAATCATGCATGAAGATTTTATAGACGATAATAATTTTGACAACATTCGCCTGAATCGAAGTTTTCAAACTAAATGCATTTGAGTTAAAAGCACATAATATAGACCAGAGAAAATGAAAATGTTCTTAAACGGAAGTAAAAAAGTATTAGCAATAAATTGAGAAAGATCACAGGTCACGCAGTGTCATATTATCAAGAAAGATAAAACACCACATTGTGAGACAAGTTCAGGAATTGAACTGCATTTACTTTATAACTATGAATAAATTTGTGAGTTGTAATCGATTATAACGCAAAAAGCAATTAACATAAAAAGCTTAATTGCGATTTTTTAATAGATAAATGTATCACATGAGCATTTCACATTTGATTTTACTAGAAAAATAAAACTGAACTATTTTTAAGGTTTACACAGACAACCCCGATATCGAGCAGTAGCGATACCAATTTTCATTTGAAAATATAGATCTTAAATATATTTCCATGTGAAGATAGCACACTGGAATTGCTGCATCAAAATCAATGATTATCAGCTCTATTAGATAAATTCTAATAATAAATAATTAATAAATATGGATTGATAAACCGTTGCTAAATTTTTTTTTGCTAAATGCAATTTTTACTCGTATTTTTAGTGTCACTTTAACAGAGAAAAATTAAGTACAAATTGCAAGTTTTAAGCACGACGTATCCTATCATAAACTTGAATGAGCAATTCCAGAAGAGTTGTTTGTTACATTTTTGTGTATCTTTTTAATATCAAGTGTTTCAAATTGTCAAAAATTGATAGATTTAGAAGTTTACTGTAGAGTAAGAAAATAAGTAAAGAAAATGCTTTATTTTTTTAATTGAATTTCATAAATGGTAATTGGGCGATCGTAATATTATGATATTCCGACTATAATGTTGAAAATGTGATCTCATGTTATTTTACAAGTATTTTATTAAAATTTTAAAATAATTTATGATTTTCAATGCTTTTTCTTTTGAGATTAATACGTAAAACTAAATATAATACATAATATGAAATTCAATATCAATTTGCATTATCTAAAAATAAACGTAAAGAGAAGTTTCAGTTCAACAGCTCATAGGACGTAAGATTCTGATTGCTGTTGAATACGAGTACAAAAAATAATAATTAGGTTTAATTCAATTAATTTAGTAAGTTAAAAATTGAACCACGATAAATTTATTTTGTTTACCTGCTTAAATAAAAATGAAAGAAGTTCAGTTGAACACATTTAAACCAAGTAAGAAACAGGAAAAGAACTTGAACAGGAAAGAAATTTGAACAATATATACTAAAGGAAGTACAAATAAAGCAATTATTCAAATGATTTCGATCATGTTTCATCATTTAGATTATTTGAGGTTGCCGATAATTGTCTGTCTAATTTCTAACATTTGGTGATTACAAAGAAACTGAAATAGGTAACGGCATGAACGGGCAAGGTGGGCCCCGATCTCAATATGAACTTTGAGTCGCTAGTTAATAATCTTTGTGTAAATCGTTCATTACGACCACGTACGGGTGTACTCGGGCCAAATGGAGTACGTGGAAGCATAGTAAAACCATATTGTAGTAGTGCGGCGAGTTGTGATATTGTGAAGGAGTAATGAATGGGCAGTGCATTCATGAATGAATTGAATGTTCATGGAGAACGCATATACGGCGAGATAAAATAATAGTGAGTCACCTTTCGTCACAATAAGTATTCGTCGCGCGCAAATTATCTAACAAATCTGGAAACCCGGAACAACTAAAGTTCCCTATGCAATAATAGCTCATTACTAAGAATAATAATTTCATAAATAGTAATAATAAATTACTGAAATAAGTGAACTATATCCAGTTAATTGTATATTGTATATTACACAACCTGGATAATCTGTAGGTAATCTAAATCTAAATTAAACTAAATAAGGTAATTTACCGAAAGTGGGCCTGGGTGCTTCTCCGGTGTCATTTTCATCGTCGCCCCCACGCTGTAGAGCCAATAAAGCCCGCAGCCACTGTGTTAATTCCGCTTCGGCATCCAATAACATACAAAAACAGTCATCTTTCATATGTAAAGCGATCACACACTTGTGTTTGGTGTCCGATCGTCGATTGATGTTGAAGCAGCTCCTCAATAGAATCGCGCGCTTCGGCGGCGACCTTGCCTTGTACTTCTTCTCGGAGTCGTAGTACTCGAGACGCGCCGATGCCTCCGCGGAATCTGATCGCAACACGAAATATTTCTTTTTCATCGTCTTTAGTTTTTTCAAATATCCGTGTAAGACGACATCGCCACCACCATTGCTGGCCGCCGAAGGTTTGTTTTCACGGTAGCCGCCATGCCCCGTCTGTTCGGAGACTATTTATCCACATGCTATGTTGCGTACTACGCTAAAGCTTTAAGGGCGGTTCCCTATAATGAACATTGTCTATGAAAATAATTCGAAATGTAAATACGTGTTCCTATATATATTGCAAACGCAACTTGACAAAAAGACACAAATACTTGCGTACCGAATGTACGCTCGCGCGACCGTCTGGAATTTTATCTCAAACACATGTGTGCATCGTGTAGTATTATGACGCTAGTGGCGACGCCATCAAAACAGACGGCGATCCCGGTTACTATCCATGCATTCCAGGTCAATGAAAGCCCCTACGACACGAAAGAACGTGGCATCGGTTATCGGCGGTCCTCTCTTTTGCGTGCGGTAGTCTCGAGACAGGCCAAACAAGGATAACAATATTATCACGGACTGTTTCAATGAGAACAAACACAAACGTAATGGCTATCACTACGTATATACACTATGTGTCTGTATGTAGCGCGCGTATTTTCTATGAAAACATAAAGCGA